TGTAGACTTATATTCTCATTTGTTCTTGCATGTTTTCTACTTTTTGATTAGAGTTCTAAATATATTTACCACACTTGTTTTATAATCTCTATCTGGTAATTCCAATATCTGTGCGTTTGACTATGATGGTAGCTTTGTCCTTCAGACTTTGTTTCTTCTTGTCTTTATAGTTTTCTGTCGAAAGCCAAACATGTTTTATAGATACTGAGGCTTTTAGTATAAGAATTTTTGTTAAGGATTTAGCATAAGGATTTATGTTAATTTGGCTAAGAGTTGAGCTATTTTAATATTTGTCATAGATAATAAGCACCAGATACTTCATATTACTCTAGTGGTTTTTCTTTTTCTTTCCTTTTTGTGGTTTCCTTTTGTACTGGTCCTTGGAGAGAATCTTTTTCTTTTTTAGTTTCAATTCACTATTATATTGGAGGCTTATTAGTATGGCGATAGGATGAGTGGGTAAGATAGGGAGGAAAGTTGTTCCCTTATCTTCTAAGCTTCTAATTAGGTTTCAGTCTTTTGTAAGCTTCTGCCTCGGGGTCAGGGTTAAACTTTCAGGAGCTTTAGTCTTTTCCAGCCTACTCTTTCCAGTTTATTTTCATAAAGTCCTCTTCTAGTTGACTATCACTTGCTTACTTATTATTACCTTACATGAGACAGGAAGGCTTGAGAGGACTGGAATAAGGTCGAGTTCCCTTTTTTCAGCTGGAAAAAACTTCAAACTAGCCCTCTGGAGAGGTCCCTCCCCTGCGAGGTAGGCCTGTTTGGAAGAAAGGTCTTGGGGTTTCACAATTGCTGTTCTTGCTATCCCTCTGCTAGGTCCATGAGATAATCTTTCTCTCTTCACTCTGAAAACATAGTGTGGCTCCTAGAGGAAATATCTATAAAAGTATAGCTCCCTTTTTACTGACCAACCCCTTAGATTCTTACTTAGCCTGAAACAGTTTATCAAAATTACTGTTTAACTGTTTCCACCAGTTTTTGGCATCTTCCAGATTCTGCTCCATGTCCTGGTTGTTGGGTTTCTCTGGATGCGTTTCTCTCCAGTTTTCAGAGAAGTTGTTTGTCCTGCAGCCTCAGTTTTCTGATGGGTCAAGAAAAGTCATTCATTTTCAGCTCGTCCAGCCTTTTTTTGTTTGTAAGGATGGGAATGACAACTTCTAAGGTCCTACATATAATAATAACAACAAAAACACACTGTTCCCCTCCCAAATGGGGGTGTGTGATATGTCTATATTAGCCCGGATCCCAGGCTATTAACATCAGGGCCTCAAGACAGCTAGGCAGTGGGGTGGGGATGTGGAAGCAGGATGCACTGCTCATTTAAAAAGTGCATCTTTTCATTTTTGAGATAAGTTTCATTATATTGTTTTGAAGAGGACTTTAATAGAGAACATTTAGGAGAATAAAAGAGCGAGAGCAGCATTGTTTACAATAGCAAAATGAGAAACAACTTGAACATCCATTAACAAAAGAGTGTTCAAATTAATTGCTACCTACAGAAGACTGCCGTGAAGGTATTCAGGAGAACGGTGAAATTGCCTTTTGCTGGTGCCTGCTGAGATGTCTGCAATATGCTGTGCAATAAAATATATTAAAGTTCACGTATGTTTATATCATGGACATAGAAAGGGTCTGAGGACACACCCAGTGTTTGAGAAGAAGAGAGACAAAGAGGCCTACCACTTTGTAGTGTTCAGATTGGTTGTTAAGTGGGAAATAATTTCTTAATCGAAACAACATAGAGTAAAGCAAGAAAGAAGGAGACTTACTTTTCATTATTTTCTTTTCTGTGCGTTTTGAGTTTGCATCCCTATTCTATTAAGAAATAAAAACAGAAGCCAAAAAGGTAAGTAGCACTCCCGATGTAGTTCACAGGCTCTTCTCTAGTCTGTATTGGCCTCACCCCTTTTCAGCACCTCTTTCTAGCCACCCCGCTGTAGGTCCAGACTTATTCCACTGTTAGAGCAGACTGGAAAGCTGCCTGGCTCCCTCCCAGCAACTTCCAGTTCCCAGTTCAACTGTAGAAGTTTGGAAGGCACACAGCACATAGGCTCAGGATGAATCACAGCCCCCATCTTACCACTGTGTGACCCTGGGTGAGTCACTTAGGCTTTGTGGAAAAGCTGTGAGCTGAGACAAGTGAACTTACTTTGTAGGATTTACTTTACACAGTTTAAAACCTCCTATAACATCTACAGCCATGTGTGAAAGAGAGGGTTAGGAATGACTAGAGTTATGAAAATGCCCCAGCCAGGCCTTTTCCACTCGCAGTAGTACCATAGTTCCCTTCTTTCTTTCTTTCCTCTCAGTGGGTCACTTTGAAGCCTGCAAAGCCCAGTCAGACTGGCACTGCCTGGACCCCACTTGCAGAGGAGGGCAGCCTGAGGGGCGGGTTGTGGATAGAGAGATGGGCTGAGGGAGACTCAGACCCACTAGACACAAGAGGAAAGTCACACCGCTCTCCTCCATTCTTCCAGCGAGGTACCTAGCAGGTCATATCTGAGACCTCCCCCAAGATTGCAGAAAATCAGAATCTACAGGGTGCTAGGATTGCCTAAGATACACCCAGATTGAGAGCCACTGGGCCAGCAGTTCTTTCTAGGTAGGCACAGCCCTAGCTCGTTATTTTTGCTACCTTACCATGGTCTGGGTCCCCTTTGGCTCTGCCTTCCTGATCCTAGGCCTCTCCAGACTGTGCCTGAACACTTTAGTTCCTGCTCTTCGCAGTGCTTTTGGCTTGGTTGGGTTCTCCCTCATCATCACCAGTCAGTGTCACATCAAAAAAATGCTCCATCAGAATTTTCCCAAGGTAAGACCTTAACTATGCTAGCCAACAAGGTCAATAAGAAGTCAGAAAACCATGTGCAACTTTTTGATATTTCATTCTTTCAACAAGTATTTACTGAACGCTTGCTCTGCTCAGGTGCAGTACAAAGTCACAGGGCTATGGTTGAGTGAGGGGCGCCCCCTGCCCCTAGAGTTTTAAACCTTACAGGGAGACATGAGGCTGACACCCAGCAGGTGCTCAGACATCTGTGCCCTTGAAGAAGGGAGAAATGAAGGCTTTTGAGAGAGGCATTCACTGCAGGAGCTAGTTGAGAGAAGTTCTGGAGAGTTGGTGGAGAGCTGAGCCTTAGGAATCAGGGGTTGGGACTCAAACCCCATCGATCCCACTCACTAGCCATACACATCCATGGGCAAGTCACATTAGCACTTTGTCCTCGGTTTCCGTGTCTGAGCAATGAGGATAACAACTGCACTCAGGCCGATGCAGGGATGAAGCGAAAGATTCCATGTACAACCTGTTCATAGCTAGTCTCAATAACACTGTTGTGATTGAGAGGACAGGTCAAGTGTGGCTTCCCGGGAAGGCAGGCCCTGACCTTCCTCAGTGTCCAGATCTGGATGAGCCTACTCAGGAGACTTGCCATAAGCTTTTGAGCCTACAAGGTGCTGCCTGTGTGCTGTACACAATCGACCCCAGCAAGCAGATTTTACTGAGGGCTGTGGAGCATCTTCTTTCCTAAAATGAAGCTTCAGAAAAGGAAAGGCACCAACCTGTGGTCAGCTGTCAGACTGCATTCCTCAGTGTGGAATTCCACCCCCATTACCTGACCTATCCTCTTTCTGTGTTGACCTTTCCTGCAGAAATAATTTCATGGGCTGCCTGTGACATCCCATCCTTAGCATCTCACTGCAGTGTGTCAGTGAGGTGGGATCTAATTATAGAGAACCTTGACAGACGGTTGGTCACTACAACTGTCCCAACACTGGTCAGAATGGATGCCTGCCCTTCCTGAGGATGTGAGCCACCTTTTCCTTCCACGATTCTGAATGTTTAGTGCTGTGCACATGTTGTGGCTTATGGGGGGCAATGAGAGAGGTCCAACCTCATTCAAAGGTAGGCTTTCCTGAAGGAGGAGGTGAGGATGGTGATGTAGAGGGTGCGAATGGCAGTGTTGTGGAGAATCAATTAGTTCTTCCCAAAGAACAGTTTGCCGTCTCCTATTCAAGATTATAAGTCGGGGGAAATTTTTGTTTGTATGGGATGATTTGTAACAGATAATTGACCAACACCTGTCAGCCAGGAGCAGTGACCAGGTTGTACAGTACACATGGCATCTGCTAGTACACGGCTCTTGCTGAGATAATGTTGGTCCTACTTTGTACTCCTGCAGGGAAGCCCTTTGGAGCTCCAAGCACATCATGGCTGCTCATTCTGGAGGCGGAGAGCAGGCTGGGGTGGGGCCAGCAGGTACTCCTATGTTCATCTGTGGCCTTCCATCCAATCTGTCACCCATTCTCAGTGTCCCATCCCTGAGCCTTGGACTCCACACTCACATTCATTATCCACAATTCATACGCAGAGTTATTGGCTCACTCTACTTCCTGTTTATAATACATATAGTTTCCTTCCCATCAGTTTCAAGCCTGAGCTCCTCTCTGACATGCTGTATAAGGAACAGCCAGGTGTGGCCACTTCACAGACAACCTTGGGACTAGACTCTTCATTTCCTTGTAGGAAAATCAGTGAGGCACACTATGAGAGTGCTGTCAGTTTCCCAGTTCTCCTTGGCCATAGGCTGCCCGATACCTGGACTGGCTGAACTAGTGGGTTCAGGCACAGATGCTTCAACAATAAAATGCCCTGCCTCACTTGCTTGAGTCCTGCCGCCCCTACCCCCCCCCCAACACAGTCCTCATGTAAGGGACAAAAGATGGAGATTTGAGTCTTAGGTTCTCCTGAATGTAGATACAAAGATGCAGCTCTTGTTGAGTGCAAGCCCATTCTGCAGGTGGGGCTCTATGCTTTGGCTTGCCTGGGACCCCTCCACTTCTGGCTGGTTGCAGAGGAATTCCTCCATGAGCCAGGAAGCTGCAGCAACTTTCTGAGGCAATTGCAGAGGAGATCATCTTGCATTGGTTGTTAGAAGTGAGGCCCATAATTCCTGGCAGGTGGCCTTAGGGGCTCAGCTGGGCAGCAGGGCCAAAGAGCACTACAAGTCCAGCTGATCCCTTTGTGTTGCCTGCTCCCTGACCCTTAAACTAAGCTGCAGGGGCTAGTCCTCCACAGAGGCACAGGCCTGGGCTTCCAGGCTGGCAAGCTCAACTCTGAGCTGGCTCAGGTCCAAGACAAGGCCTGAGTACCTCTGATTCTGTGGGCTGTGGAGTGGGCTGGCCAAGGAGGATAGGTCACAGACAGCAGCCGCTCTAGGGAAGCTGTTAGGCTGTTTCTGCTGCAGAATGTCAAGGCCGCTGGACTGAAGTTGACTGCAGAGCCTGCTGCCTGTGTCCTGCCTTGGGGGCTGCACTGTGTCAGGCTGGCAGTCTGGGTGGATCTGCAGGGCTGCAACCTGAGCCACACAATCTGTCAAGGTTGGCTCTGCATCAAGGGTGCTCCCTCTAAGGCCTGGCCTCCAGGGATCTTGGAGACACTCCACATTTCCAGGTAGCCTGGGCTCCTGGGAGTGAGGCCAGGCAGAGAGATTTGGAACCTTATTTTCACTGGAAGTGTCAGTTGTCGTGGAGGTTGCAGACACCACAGAAGAGAACAAGTCTTCATAGCAGCCTTGTGTCCCTTCTTCCCCATGTCTCATGGACAGAAAGCTAGTCCCCTCCTTGGCCCCTGCTAGCACCCGACTCTCTCCAGTAAGCAGGCCCTTGGCACCTGAATGTACCCACAGCTCCTGCCTACTGGGTGCTAAGCCAACGGTGATCCCACCTGCATCTGAGGCCTGGGCCCCCCTGCCCTCCAGCTTCACTGGACCTGGTACTTTCTTTTTGGAACCAGCTTCCAACTTCTTCACCAGGCCTCTGGGTGGGGTTGTGGGCTCCCCAGGGGCTGAGGCAGGTGGAGTTCGGAGCTCAGGGCCACGGCGGAGCCAGTTGATAATGCCCATGGTGATGGCGAGCTCAGTGTCACAGAGCTTCAGCAGGCACTCCTTGCCCTTCCAGGAGCTCTGCAAGAAGCTCTGGCTAAGCAGGTCTGGGCCTGGTGCCAGGGGCAAATTCTCCTCTGCCCCAACATGGAAACTGCACATGGACAGTGGTGCTCCCAGTGCTGACCCTGACAGACTCTCAGATACGCACAAGTCATCCTCCAGGCTTGGGCCAATAGGACCCTCGCTGGGGTCATAGAAAAGCTCATAGAGGGCATCTCCACTATAGCTGTCCCGAGGAAAGGAGGCTGCAGGGGTGCCTGGGCTCAGGGCTTCCTTCCTGTCCTCCTCGAGGCCAGGTGAGAAGGCATCATAGTAGCCTTCATCACTTGTGGATACAGACTCTGGTTGCTCACTCTTGGGGGTGCCTGTGTCTATGGAGCTGGCTTTGGAGCCACTTGGGGCATCCCTGCAGGGGCACAGAGGGAGCTCGGGGAGCCCAGCTGAAGCCAGCCTGGGTTGGGCTGTGTCTGTCACCTGCGGGCCCCCCAGCCATGGGCCTAGTAGGGCGCGCTGCTGTTGCCTCACAGAGTGATTCACACTGTCCCAGAACTTGGCAAAGTCAGACATTTCATTCTGGGCAGGCATGCTGCCCTGAAAGGGATCCCTGGGAACCTTGCTGTCAAGGGCCTGAGATGCCCGGGCTGGGCTCTCCAGGCCCTCATTCAGCTCCAGGGATGGCACTGAGCTCTCATCTGCAAAGATCTCCCCACAGCCTGTGAGTGAGTCGAAGCTCTTGAGTGAGGCTATATCTTCACACAGGGCCCTGCAGAGGTCGAAGGAGGAGTCGGGCAGGAGCTCGTTGTCAGATAGGTCTTGGCACAAGCCATCCAGCCCCAGTCCTTCACCCAAGGGGAAGAAGGCTTTGCCCTCCTGCCCTCCAGCCTCTGATGGGCCCCTGGAGGATGACAGGCTCTTCCCCTTAGTTGCCAGTGAGGCCAAGTTCTCAGTCTTGTTTCTGCGAATGTGGAATAGGTTCCGAAAACACTTCTTGGGTCTTTTTAGGGAAATCCTCTTCCTTGGGATGCTCTTTGCCACTGCTGGCACGAAGGGCATCTGGGGCACAAAGTGGTGGTAATCAATCATGCGCTGGTTACCAGAGGGCTCTGGGAAGCTTGTGCTGCCCACCAGTTGCCCAGTTGCGACCACCCTGTTAGTCTCAAGCACACTGTTGTGAGTCTTGCTCTTTCGTACCAGTTTGAAGGTGGTCCCACAGAAGGCTGTGGCACCCTCCTCAGGGTCTGGCTGCACCCCCTTGTTGGAACATTTGTTATATCCTTGGGTGCTGGAACTGACTTGGGGACCCTTTTCACTGTGGGACTGCTGCTGCCCTCCAGGCAAGACTGACCAAGGGCCTGTATCCTCCCTAACTGGGGCAGTAGCTGCTGGGCCTGGAGGTTTCTCATGGGAAGTTTGCAGGCTGGATTTGATGAAAGTCTTTCCTCTCTTCAGTTCCATGCTGCCAGTACCCTTAGCTGCTGTGGAGAAAAGCAAGAGGCACTTAGTAAACAAGGTAGAAGCCTACAGTTCTATAAGATTGTTGCCCACCCTGCTTAGACAGTGGTATTGGAGCTGAGTTCTGACATCGAAACTTGGATCCTCCATGGAGGTGGTGGAGAGTGAGATGGTTTCAGACTGTGCTCACTACTCCAGCCTTCATAGATGACTGATGCCCAGAGAAATTAAGTCATATGACTAAAGGCAACAGTAGGAGCCAAAATGAGAGCAGACTGGGGTCTGGCAATCCGTATCTGTGATCTCTTGACTCATCTAAGTATCCTATCAGAGCTTGTCTGGCCAAGTCAGACTTTCATTTTTAGGCCCAGGTGCTATAATATCCTTATGGGGAAGTTCATGGCCCTTCTAAGTGGTTGTAGCGGGAAATTCAATAAATAAGTTGCCTCCTTCATTTAAGAGACAAAGTTCAAAGGGAAATCAAAGCCTGCCTCCTGGGCTGTATACAGTGGCCATCAGTCAGAGGGGAAGGCATATATACTGCCCTCAAGGACTGTTACATCTGTTCAAGGAGGCAGGACTCAACCTACACAAAGGCCATCAGGTAAGACAGAGCCAAGCATCTACAGAGCTTGATCACTGAGATGACAGAGAGAGGAGGAAAACATGAGGTTAGAAAAAGGCAGATTAGATAGACGTAGCACATCATGGACTGGAAGAACAAGCAAGTGTCTCCTTTTGTGCACATCTTAATTGAAAGATATTGATGCCTGGAGTGCCATCCAGAGAAGGTTTCTGATTGATGCCCAATCTGAATTCACTGGGAAAGGGTGCTGAGATTGTTTTTTGATGTCTGCTCTGAGTGTGGGACTGAAAAGGTATTGAGAGAGTTAACAACTTGATCATCCTTGCACAGTTGGGGAGTTGGGCCTTACTCTGAGATCAGTGAAGAGCTATGAAAGTCTTCTGAGTAGAGTAGAAGCAGTGCCATAAAGAAATTCGTGGTCTAAGACCATTCATCTGACATCTGAGTAGAGGACAGAATGACTTAGGAGAGGAGGCTCTGAGCAGATAAGACTCAAAAGAGGTAGCGGTTATAAGCATGAAAAAGAGGTATCAAGTTATAGGGTCTTTCAAAGGAAGAAATACTAGGATTCAGCAAGTGAATACAGAAAGAGAAGCAAGCCAGAAGATGAAAACACTGAGGCCTGGATTCATGCCAAAAGAGGGGAACAATGACAAGTGGGAAAAGGCAAAGAAGCGGAGTGTTGAGTGAAGACAAGGAAGAGGCCTATGCTAAGAGCTTGTTTGAAGGAGAGAATAAAGGGTTTAGTTTTAAACATTGCCTTTAGGGTGAGTTTGGAGACACACAAGACCACACCAAAAGAAGGCAATGCCTGAGAATTGCTCTGACTCTCCCTCATTGAGTCCTCACAGGCACCCAGATCACATGCTCAGTCCATGCTAGTGTCTTGTCCTCTCTTTGGCAGTGAGTGACCTATGGGTTTGTCTCTGTCAATCTGGCCAGAGAGAGATTAGAGATGAGACTTTGGGCTGGTTTCTTTGACTCTCCATAAGGACTACTCCATAGGGAGCACCTGAATTCATTCCTCCTCAGTCTTGAGGGAGGAATGGAGTGGATGTGAAAGGCATGAGGCTCTGTCAGCCTGCATGCCTTTAACACCCACTGCCAAGGAAGCCTCACGGCTACCTCCAGAGAGCTTCTTGACAGATATGAGCTGACCAGAGTTAGCTCCAGTCTCTGAAATGCTTTGACATGAGGACTCGGAGACAAGCAGAGGGGTTGCTTCACAGCCCAGCAGGCAACATTAAAGCCAAAAAGGATAGGAAGTGGTGGAAAAACTGGCATTGCAGAGCCTCACAGGGGCAAGCAAACTAACTGGTCTCTACCCTACTCCCACCGTGAGCAGGGCTTCCTTCCCTGCAGTGGGACAACTGGGACTTTTAGCTGGAGAATAAAAGAAGGAGCAGGCACTGTGCCAGAAAAAGTCACAGAACTCAGGGTTGTCTCTGCAACTCAGCTCTTGGTGGCAGCATCCTGGATAGTAGGACAGAGCCTCAAGCTGCTTTCTGTTTCCTGCCAGGTGGTAGGTGCTCAAACCTTTTCTACCCTGCACCTGCAGGCCCTATTTCCACTCCCCATAATTCTCTGTGGCCTAGATAAGGTCTCCCTAGCTCTGGTGGGTTTTGCTGAACAAAGAATAGTGGTTACTGTCTGGGTTATGGGATTGGAGGACCCAGATTCGAATCTTGGTTACATCTACACAACCAGGCAGAGTGCTTGGCCCATAACTTTAGAATGGAAATACTGTTATAACCCCCATTTAAAAAAATAGAAATTAAGGCCCAGAAAAGTCAATGGATTGACCCAGGTCACACAGGTGGTAAGTGACAGAGCTAAGATAAGAACTATATCTGTCTGACACTGAGCTTATTCTCTTAACCATGATAGATATTCTATGAACCAATAGTTCAAACTTCCCTTTATGAGAAATGTAAAAATTGAATAATAAATGTGTTTTCATGAGGAATTTTGGAAAGCATAATGAAAATGAAGATGAAAAGCAAAAATGTAACACACAAATTTAGAAAAATTATAACCAAAGACAATATATTTCTCTGGCAAGAAATTTTGGAGATATTCATTATGGCATCTCTATTATACTTATTCTTTTCTGTTTTAGAAAAATATTTTTGTTACCATACTCTTGGAAATAACTTCAACCAGGCTTGATAAAGATTATTTCACTGTGTGCAAAATATTGCATCCACAAGAACTAACATGTTTTATTTGATATTGATCACTATAAATAAAACTACTGGTTTCTTAATTCTTGGAACAGTTAACTGACTTAAAATCACTAACAGTTGGAAACTTCACCACACTTCAACTTGGAAAATGATCCCTCAAAATAACTGCCATTGTTGTAAATGGCTGGATTCAGTGCCACTAATATTGCCAACCTTGTTTCCTGAGTTCATTTAATACTTTACACAATAGGATAATAAATACTAAGGTCTAGAACAATGAACCAGAGACATGTAAGATACTGGAGCAATCATATAAAATCCTATGTGTATTCGGTACAGTCAGTTTCCACATTAAAGTATTTTATCAGAGCCTGACTCTTTGGAAATATGAGGCCCATATGTGACATGAGTGGGAATTCCCTAAGGGGTCAGAGGGCCCACTACCCAAATGGAGACAAGCCAAGCAGTCACCTTCTATGACAATTTCAGGGGCAGAATGGGATTTATCTAGACAGCTAGATGCTAGCACTGTCACCGCCTGAGGGCAGAGGCCAAATATGTTCAGATTCTCAGCTACAAAAATGCATATTCTGCATTGTAATCCTGCGGCTAAAGACTCCCTGAGTTGAACCCAGTGTGAAACTATGTGCCACATCCCTGCCCCAACAACAAAGCAGACCTGTCTCCCCATCCCCAACCCTTTTGGTATCTTCTTGCCTGTAATACTCAGTTACCATGGACTTCTTACTCTGGTGCTTACTTGGTACTCTTCCTCCCCAATGAAGTTGAAAAGTTCTCTAAGATTCAGGACTCCAAATGTAGTAGACTATGAGCTACTACTTATTTAAATGAAGTACTTACTTTTTTGAGACATCTTAGCCATATATTTACATCTAAGTTTCCTAAATAAGATGCTGGATCCATAATTTTTAATTCTATAGTTTATGTACATCATTTTCTAAGATGGGTCTCAGTGACACCAAGACCCTGGACTGAGTCTTTTATCTCTAAAATGAACATGCATATTCTATGAGAACAGGGACTACACCATGTATTAATTTAATCAATCCTGATTCAGAGATGTGATATTTAAATCGAGTCCTAAAAGCAAGCTAAAGACAACCAGGCAAAAGATTGGAAAGCATATTTCAGGCTGAGGGGACATCTTGTGAAAAGGCCTTGAGGAGCAAGGGAGAGAGAATATTTAAAGATCTAAAAGCAGGCCCAGATAGACAAAGCAGCAAGCCAGTGGATTGAAGCTGGGAAATGGGCAAGGCACATCACACCTGGCCTGAGGTCTAAGGGAGGGTCTTGGCCTTATTTTATGTGCCATAGGGAGCCAGCCATCAAGGGTGAGTGACATGGGCCAATGTTCACTTTTGACAGATTACTCCAGTTGTAGATGAGAATGAAAATTAAGGGCAAGAGTGGAGGCAATAATTCAGATTAGAAGCCAGAGCAGCATCCAATGAAGAGAAAGTGGTAGCAGAGATGTCCCACGTGTGTAAACTTTCCTTCTTAGTGCCTTACACAGAGTATGCACATGCATATAGATTTATTACAAATTAAGCAAAATGCAATAACTCTACTAGCTGCTTTTCTACATGATGACTAACTTTATCTTAACTGCTTAGGATTCTCTTTTCCCTTTGGTAAGGTAATTCTGTGCTTTATTTTTTAACATCAAAGTGGCTGAGTGTTTCATAGAGCAAAGTAAAAACCTCAAGATACAGATATGCTACAGAAATGGTTTGGAGATATAAAAATTTTGACTAATAGCCCCGCCCCGAGTAGCCAGGAAAATCACAAACAGTGAAATACAGTGTGATGGATGGTGATAAGAAAGCAGAAGCCTCTTAGGAGAGACCCACCCCGGGAGTTTCCTGGACATTGAGATGGGCGTGGGAGGCTATGCATGGGACAAGGGTTAATTTCTATTGTAGGCTGCCTTGTTTAAACCAAAAGCCTCAGATCGATGAAATGAAGGCCATTGTGGGGAGGACAAGCTTCCTTGTTCTGGGGTGGGTGTGGGCTGGGAAACGAAGCAAAAACAGAATCCTCAGCGAGAATCACTAATTCACCCAACCCCCATGTTGGGGAGACAAAGAGTCGTTTGGGGACAGAAGGTTCTGGCTCCCTCCTCTAAGGGAGGTTCCTGGCCTGCCCAACCGAGAGAAGATGGATCTCCAGTCTTATCTGTTTTCCCCAGCCCCCTCAACCGCAGGCAGAGG